CTTTTTTTTTTTTTTTTTTTTCTTTACAGTATATGACTTTATTTTTTTAATAAAACCCCTTCTCCCTATTCCATGGTGGGCTAATACCTTAGTCTCCATCTTCCATTGCTTTGTCAGTAGGAAAGTACTGTACCATGTGCTGTGTTTTCTAGCCAGTGCCTACCTCTCCCAATGCTATTGTGAGTGAGGTAGTTGCATGTGCTATACAGGCTTTCCCCCTGAGCTGTCTGGTAACATGCCTCTATTCATACAGCGTTACAATACAGCCATTGTGCCGGCTGTTCATTCTGGGAAGGGATGGAGGCACCTGCATGAAGGGGCCAGTTACCATCGGTAAACAAGCCAACTTGCCAAGTCCCCATGTAATGCGGTATGAAGCCAGTTCTCAAGACGCGGAAGGATTATGTTGTACCTACCCTCTTCCAAACCCTTAGAGCACCTGAAGAGGGGAAACATGTTAGCTCATGAGCTGGGCAACTGGAATGGCGGGATGCAGGTGTCAGACTTACAGAAAGGGATGGGGGGTGGTTTTTCCCTTTCCCCCTCCAAAGTGCCTACAGTAGAAGGAAATGAAATGCTTCAAAGCCTTTCAAGAGCAGCACCTCTTCAGATGACCAGCAGATGATGGAAGCTAATGTACTGCCCTCACTGGACAGAAGAGAAGCTTGTTGCAGAGAGAGAAGCCAAGGAGAGAGAGCTTCCCTCTCCCCAAGCATCAGAAGCTGGAGAGATGCAACTTTCCCCTGTTCCTGGTACTCCTTGCATGATTGGGCTTTCTTAGCCGCAGTTTTCCCTGCACTCCTCTAACATTGCACTTGGCTCCTGCCAGCAGCCGGTTTTGGTCGAGGGCCTCAAAGCACTTTGGAGGGCAAAGGGAATTACCAAAGTTGTCAGTCAATCTGGAAAGGCTGGATCTGGACTCCCATGCACTATGCTCTAGTCTAATGGCGAAGTGAGGTAAGTAAGACGGAGGGAGCTGTGCTCCCTCCATGGAGCGGCATGGCATGAGAGGCTCTAGCAATACAAAGCATGAAAGAAGCAGCTGGAAGCAGGTTGCTGTTAGCATGGCTCGTGCAGTCGCGTAGCTGTACCTCACCGTGAATACGTGTATCCTGAGACTTCATCTAGAGCTAACTACAAGCAAAAAAAAAAAAAAAAGCACCATGGAGTTTTGCTTGCAGCTTTTCTCTTGTATAAGGATGGACTGAGCCAGTCCGTGTAGAAAAGGGGTCACTATGAGCATGGGGGAAGGCATGATCTTTGGGAGAAAGCTGTCCCAGGGCCAGCAGGCTGAGGAAGAGGAAGCAGGCACAGCCACATCGAGAACAAATTCTTATCCCGTCATCCCATGTTGTCCTGCAGGCACCGTGGCTTCTTCAGCTGTGGTCTGGATACGGCCAGGGCAGGTTGACACAGTTGCTCTGCTGCTGCTTTCGGGACACGGCGGGTCCACGCTAAAGTTCATTTTTGCATGAACCTGAAAATGTATAAAGCCAGAACTGGCATTAGGAGGGGATCTGGCTGGCTGAAAGCAGCCTAACATATGCTCATATGACTGGGGCGCCCAGAGTACGAAGAATAAAAGGCAGGAGTCCTGGCTTCCACGCTCACCCCCTTGTCGTTGCTCCCTGCCAGCTCTCCTGGAGCAGCTTGCGCTGCTCCTACCCATTGTCTGGCAGTGGTAGCTTCATCC